TATCCAGGCCTTAGCTGGAAGAGACTAGCCTCCCCAACGCAGCCAGACTTTCCAGTGGCTGCACCTGGGAGTTTCGGATGCAGGTTCGCGTCTGCTGCCTTGCAAGTTGTCCGGCGGCTGCAGTGCCATGCAGAGCCCTCCCGGGATCAGGAAGGAGCGGGGGCATATCACATTCATGCGTGTGTGATTGTGTTGGAACAAAGCCGGGGGAAACGATATCCAAGATGTAAAGCCGAGAAGCTGACCCTCGTTAGCAGAAAGTTCCTCACCGAGTACTTTGTCTTATTTTTTCTGCCTTTTCTCTGTTGCAGGCTTAGCTTTTAAGCAGGAGTATAATGAAATGCAGGGGGATCCTCTGAAAAGCATGATCAGATTAGCGGTCATAAAACTTATCCTGAGAAGTTCCTTATAAACCCATACAGCTGTTTCACAAAGCCAGATGCATTTTAATAGTAGCTTAAAAAGGAGTGGAAATTATTCCTCCGGGTTTGCAAACCACTGCATGTGCACACGCAGGCTTGCTGTCTGGGTAGTATGTTTAACAGAGTCAGTGGTAGAGGGTGATATATGATGTGACTTTAAACTGAACTGGAAAGTCTAAAAAATATTACTGCTAGGAATGTAACAGTGGCACTCCTGAGCCATGTGGGGTGGGAACTGTTAAGCGTGTGGCTTCCAGCCTTGGCTTAAAAGTTAACATAAGAATATACTAATAAAATAGCCTGTTTGGGATTTCCTAAATGTTGAGGTGCTTTTTTTAAAACCAAAGTTGCCTCAAAATGAAGGAGGTTGATTCCCAGTGGATGATGCCTTTGTGATTAAAATAGGGCCCCCAAATCTCGGAACAACAAAATAAGCTTAATTAAAAAAAAAAAACCAAAAAAACTAATATTTTTTTCAGTATTTTTCTAGAAAAAATAAAGTATTGGGCAGTCTGCACTTAAATATCTTCTTACTGAATTTGCACTGAAAATATCGTACTTGAAAAGAAAGAGGACTTGAGAAGGAAAGAAAGGGACTTCCAGCTCTCTTACCACTGTTTAACCACAGTACAATGGAGGAAAAGCAAAGCGTTACAGGTGATGAGTTAGATTATTAAATAATATGCTTAGTACAGGTAAAGAAATGGTTTAAAAATGATTTTACCAAAGTTTACCCAACCATATTTCTTTAAGCTGACAAATGTAATTGGAAGCTGACAAATGTAAGCGGTGGATTATTGGAAGCTAACAACTGTGCTTGGCAGATTAATACCTATGTAAAGATGTGTACTTGCAACATGAGGGACAGCCGGCCCCCAAACCAGCAGGACAATTAAGCACGAGGGGAGTCTGACAAGGCCAAATAGTCAGAAACTGCTTCTCTCTCTGCCTAACGTTACACCTTATGCTTAATGCTGGACGCAGGTCAGAAGCCTCAGCCACTTCAAGAATTGAATTTGTATTGACCTAATAAACTCAGACTATATGAAGCATCAGGTCAGCTCTAAACCAGTTGGAAACCAACTGCTAACGAAAGAATGTCTTTTAAAGTGTGAACAAATATATTTTTGGTTTTCTCTTCCTAAACATAATCACAAAATGACAATCAGTTGTCCGGAAAAGTGATCAGCTGACACCAAGATGCAGCTTGATACAAAGGGTGCTCAGGAAGGAAAGTGTAACCGACTCCGTGGAGCGTGTTGATAAAGTTTAGAAAAATTCTTCTGTGTACATGACAGAAACTAATACTTCTGAAATAACACTGATGTTCTACATTCTAGAAACAGTTTCCTCTGGTTTTGGGG